CATCCTTATATAAACTTTTTCCTAATTAAAATGAACCAAAAAATCCTCACTTAAACATAAAATTTGTAATAAAAATTTTACCCATGTGAACATTAATCCGTGAGTAGTACTTGTGAAAGGTACCTAAAAAACTAGTGAATAGTAAATAAAAATATTAAAAAATCCTAAAATGTATAAAAGAATTAAAAACTTTGAAAATAAATCCTAACACTAAAATTAAATTTTACATCCTCGAAAAAATAAAAATAAAAATAATTTTATCTTGCATCAGTTAATTATCCTAAACCCATTGGATTACACAACTTTGAATTAGCCCAAGACATTGGGAAAAGCCTTTCTAACTTTCCTAAACCATACGTTAAAAAAACCATCCAGCACAATTAGGCCCTAGCTACTCTTACATTGTAATAACCCCAAACCCTAAACATAGCCCCTTGAACAATAAAGAAGATCAAATTTAACTTTAAAACATTAAAAAATACCTTAAAAACTCTAGTAAATTCCCTAAATGGACCAGAAATATCTCCATGAGGCCACATGGGATGCGTGGTGGGAACTACTACTGTCCAGGCCCAATTATGGGACAAGACATGGACTATGTCACGAGCAAATGAACGGTCTAGATTCGGCCACCATTTCGGTGACAAGAATTATGGGCCTTACACGCAGACCTTTACTTCAAACCTTCAAAAAAATTTCAATCAAAACAGATCTTTCCAACCAAAACAAAACTTAGACCTAAGGTTGACCCTAAACTACCCGAGTCATTGGGAACCAAGGCCCTTAACTCCCTGCCAATTTTGTTCAAAAACAACTTTTTTCCATCTCGCCATACGGCCTAAGCTTGATCCAAACTCTAACTCTTTGTGGGGCTTAGTACGAAGGCCATTTTATTTCAATCTATTTTATTTTATTTTAATAATAATTTTTTTTAAATTTAATTTTTTGTCAATCTCCTTAGAAAGGTTGCGGCAAACTTTTAGCCGATCTGGCCAGTGGTTTGCAGGAAAGAAGTCCCTTTTTGCTGCTCGTATCATAATTTTACAAAAAGATTGTCTACTAAAAGAACATTTATCTTTTGTACATAAATGTCATAATCATTCTTATCCTTTAAATTTCAAAATTGGTGGTCATAATAATGTTATTGAATAGATACAAAGTTCTAAAAAAAAAATTATCGAACTTTGTGACTCACCCCAAGCCATCCAATTTGATGTTTACCGAGTGAGAATGATTGTGACTTCCATATACAAAAGATAAATGGTCTCTAGATAATCCTTTTTACAAAACCCCTTTCTTCACAAATTACAAAAAATAATAATTGATTTAGTTTAAGTGCAAACGAGGAGAAGTCTTGTATCTTCTCATCGTAGATTTTTGCATGGAAACAATATTGTACATCAACTTCCTCGGTCAAAGAATACTTAAGAGGATTTTATCAATCTAAAATTTTTTAGTCCACGTTAGATCTACCGGACAAGTATTTTTACATGAATAAATTGGATTTTGAGTTCCTAAACACTTATATACGATCATCTTAAAATAGATAGTCTATATTCAATCATAAATTTTTTTTTTTTATGGAGGGACATACATACAAAGCAAGATTCTATTTTATCTAGTTTTTTAGAGTGTCGCTATATTGAGGAGCTTACATCCCCGAATATTGGGGCCTACAAACATTCTTAACTAGGTTTTATTCCAAAAAAAAAAATAAAAATAAAAATAAAAAAAAAATAGAAAAAAAAGAAAAAAGAGAGAGATAAAGAGAGAGAATTACTTGAAGGGATGAATTTTGTGCATAGCTCATCGTCCCTCTACCTTCATTCATGTGTAGAACATTTACAACTTCCATGACTCTCTCTCTCTAAAGTGCAAGACTGCCCCTAAATCCTTCTTTTGGGGTGCGAAAATGAGAATGGTAATAAATTGAAAGAAGTGCAGTGGTATATTTATAGGGGAGTTTGTGCCTAACTTTGGGGAGTTCAGTCATGTGCATCACGTGCAATCCATGAGGAGTTGCTATTGATAGGAACCATACATTTTCCTTTGCGGTCCATTATAGGTCCAATGTCACAAAATATCAGTAATATTTTTCCAAACATTTGGGACTAACACATTCACGGTAACTAAATCCTCATCCTCATAAATGAAAATCAAATGCTAAAACGTAATAACAATTTCTGTCTCTTCCTTTACGACACGGCTCTTCGGTTTCTTCACGATAATTGATAGGACAATGATACGAGTGATTGTGATCTTTTTATATTAAAAGTAAATAGTTACCTTATATACTTTTTTTATCCAAAAAGTAGTTTATGTACAGGGGGACCTATTTCTACATTTAGGTCCCCCTATGCATAAAGGATCATCTGAAGTTAGATCTAAGTATTGGTCCCTCCAAGAAAAAGGTAAAATTAATAGCTCCAATATTTCTTTCTAAATAATATAAATTTGAGATTTAATTTTTATTTATTTATTGCACATTAATAATCTTCATGTTAGGGATTGTACATTCCTTAAAAATCAAGATAAAAAAAAAAAAAGGATTATTGAGGGGAACTTCTTATAGAGCCAAGGCCCTAAACAATCAAATTCGAGCCCATCTTAAAAATTTCACCAGAAGAGGTTATTTTGATGCTCAAATATTCGCAAGTTGATCATCTCGACATCAAGATGCATGGACATGAGAAAAAAATAGATTTCAAGTTTTGAAAATAGTGCATCTTGTAAGGTATTTTTGGACCGTTAATTTTCAAGATTTTCAAGTTTTTACATATCTACTTGATTTACACTATATTTTAAATGTTGAATTTTAATTGATGGTCTAGATGATTTGTTGCAATATACACTATTTTTAAAACTTGAAATCCTAATTTTGTTTTTTACAATCATAATGTTCAAGCTAAAATGACCGATTTAAAAGTTTTTCAACACTTGAATTGCAATGTTTGATAAGTTACGAGGTGAGGCTTTACTTATTTTAATAGGGGTACAACCCCTTGAACATTATGTTAAAAGAAATTAAAAGTTTAAGATCTAAAAATAATGTATATTGTAATAAATTATCTACATTGTACTTCCATTTTTTAGATGGATCAAAAGTTACTTTCTAAAAAATTGATGTCAAGGTGATGTCAAAATGAATGCACAAACTTCATAGCCAACCAACCTCATCAGGATTGGAAATTGATCAAGCAGATGTAGACCTCATTAAATATTGGAATCTGGCTAGTTTCTCTCATGAACTAGCCCGTTCTCTCAAAGCAGTACAAAAATGCATGCCTAGCAAGGTTTTAAAAAGTTGGTGATTTGGATCCGAACCGAGATTGGAAATTGATCAAGCCCATCTAAACCTCATTAAATATTAAAATCTGGCTAGTTTCTCCCATGAACTGGCCCGTTCTCTCCCATACCGCCATCCAAAGCGGTTTTTTGGACGGGCGATCCTGAGTCCCCAAATGGTATTTTTTCCTTGGATAAAAGTATTTGGAAATAAATTCATAACAGTCTCTGGTTTGCCATTCACAGTCTTTTGAAGAAATGATGTGAGTTGCCTTCTAATGAAAACCAGAGTCCTTATTTTTTCAGCCATGGTCGGTGTGGTGTGGGGTTATGTGGATCACGTTGTTACACGTCAAAAAATGGAATGGACGGCAGTTAGGAAGTACTTCCATTGACTTTCACTATTCGAATTGTACCTTCAATGTCCCTCGTTAGTCTTTCTAATGGTGCTAGTAACATTTTTCATGTTTTTATGATGGCCACGTGATCATCCTGACATTTCTTTATTCACACTCATAAAAATCTGTTCATTTTCATTTCAAATAAGGGAGCACTTCTTTGTGATAATACATAAAAATGCATTTGTTTACAATTCATGATAGAATTTTATTGAAATACTTTATGAGGACCATAATGTTAAAGTAGTGCTATGAAACACGACTCTGCCGGGGTACTAGGACCTTGGCACGAGGCAAGTTGCTCAGGCGAGTCTGATTAACTCACCCGAGTCTATCCCGAATTAAAAAAATGGGGGGCGGGGTGGGGGAGGGGAGACTCCCATCGTTCAAACAAATTAAAAATTGAAATCTCCATGTTGGGACATATGCGTGGCACTACCCAAAGAGTCATTCAAGTGTATGTGACCTAAACTTCCCATACTAGGGTAAATAAATTTTATAAAGATGGTGTACAACCTACTCACCCAAACCTCACCTCCCCCAGAGGGCGAGACCGAGTAACTCGGCCGAGTCCGAGTGGCCTTGGGCGAATCTTAGAACATTGTTTTAAAGTTTTCCAGGTGTTTAGAGATATGCTTGATTTACACCATTACTTTAACTTTAAATTTTATAATTAGTAGCAAACTTGGATTTTAGACCATTATAAAACTTTTGGCATGCAAACTATATTTTTTGACAAAGATTTGAATATGTGTCTTACTTTGATTGCTTGACGTATAAGTAGTTTTATTACAATACTTTGCTACAAAGAAAATAAAACTAGAAAACCTAAGTTCTGAAAAACCTTGATGCTACTAAACCAATTTCTTTAAACAAAAAAGTAATCATAATTCTTATGCTTGGAAACATAAAGCCAATATAATTAAATATGGCAAGAAATAAAAAAGAAGTACCATATATTACCTCAACCGGGCTTATTACACCCCACACCGAGTCATCTCCATTCGATGGTACGGGATAAAAAATCAACCTTCGATCTCAATCTAGGTAAAGAAAGTTTAGGCCAAACCCTCCAATTGAACTTTGAACTCCTCTTGATCATAAATCTCAAACTTAAGTGTAACCCATAAAACCTAGTTTAAGAGAGATAACATCTACTTACTTCTACCCAACCCTTAGGATCAAGATATTGTAACATAAGAGAGAGGGAACTTTCTTTCTTAAGTGGGGCATGCCCGCAATTTTGGCATTCTACAAAGAGATAAAAATTTTAGAGAGAGAAACTAGATTTTTGGTGTAGAAATTTATGGGCATAAGGTCCTCTTTTTATAGTGTAAAAATAGGATTAGGGTTTCTTAGGGTTTTTTATGACTTGCTTCTTGTTGTGATATTGAATATGCATTATTGATTTTGGGTGACTTGTGGGGTTAGAGATTTAAGCCCTCAATTCCATAGATGGATCATCAACATCATATGGAATGTACTAGAACATTTATCCCCCAGTTCCTATAAACCATTTTTTCATCAATAGAAATTAAACAAATTAATTCAAACATAATATTAGGCTTACCAAAAAATATGCATAAGCCTCCTCATGATTTCCAAAAATCCATTCAAAGCTACCTTAAGGTAAACACTTTCTAAAACATCACAAACTTTTTTCTTCAAGCCCAAGCTTGATCCAACAAAATTGGAAAGCTGCTTGGAGTGGGGCATGCCACCTTAGGTGCACTCATGGGCCCCACCCACAATGCAATGGTGGGCCCATATAGCTTATTGGTCCTGCAATAATCAAATTAATTAAAATATTATATGATTTTTAAAATTTCATAAAACTCAATTTAAATAATTAAATCATTCTAAGATCAATATCCATGTTTTTATAAATTCAAATTTGATAAATAAAATATCCAGAGATCTAAAAAATTTCAAATAATAATTTTAAAAATCATATATCAATAAAATAAACATAGTTAAATTCATTCATGAGAAAAAGATCCATATGGTTTAATAATTAAATAAATAAAACATTGATGCACTCCACCTTTAACTGTAGGCTACAACGCATGCTTGCTTTCTTAAACCGACCCAGTATTGCCCACAACCCACAGTCCATACAGGGGCTCATTAGTGGGTCACCAAAGTATAGTTAATGGGCAAGGAATTGTCATATCAGTTTGTGAATTTCAAGTTCTCCTCTAGAGATGTACCAAGGTCATCCAAACTTGATGTGACCACAACTCATATGACGTATAAGAGTATCTCTCGCACATACATAAGCTTCACCCTGAAATATGGTTCGCTTTCCCGAAACAACTATCCTATATACATGTTTGTGATGGCACGCGGATGAAGCTTTGCCTCGCCTCTGAAGGCTACCATCACACATAAGGGCTACACAATTCATCGGCTTATAAATCCAGACTGACTCTGACTTCATCAAGGGATGACCTATTAAAACTCTTATCGGATAGTTTTTCATGCTTAGGTAACATAGGTTTTTTCCAAACGTCTGGCTTAGTTCATAAAGCTCAGTTCAGTATCAACAAATATTATTTGTTTAGTATGGTCCACGAAAGACTACACTTCTATCGAGTTTATATTTTATTATATCAAAATGTTTATTACAAGCATTCATAAGGCCTTTAGTAACCACACTCACCACGATATATAAACCACACCCTTTATCGAAAAAGTGTGTGAAACTTTACCTAATGCTTGCCCCAGTTACTAGTGCTTATGCAAAACTAAGTGTGTGGAACTAATTAAGTGACATCCCAAAATCACATGGAAAATCAGCACATTCAGATGGCTTTAACTTGACATTTCCAAAACATTTACATGGAAAATGGATATGTACAATGTTTAATTTTCAAAACATCCTATCTCATAAGATTTTAGAATTTTGCAATTATAATAATTGATTCCTTTGGAATTTAATGCAAATTGAAATTCTTGTGATGATAATTGATTCCTAGCTTTATCCTCGTGATGTTCTAGGTGATAGGTACTAATGAGACGCGGTTAACTGTATTTATCCTTGTGGGTGGGTTCAATGCAAACCCACATTAGAAAATCCGAGCCATCTAACCGGTAACCTCTCAGTTAGATTGGAGCCGACCACTGGCCGGTTCTGGTTTTCGACTGTTTTAGTGATAGACAGGTATTTTAGCAAATAAAATTAAAAATAATTTATATAAAATCCTAAAAATAAGGAATTTGGTTTGTAATACATTTTTTAATATTTTTTATATTATGGT